CCCGCCGCTGTCTTACACCCACTCAGGGGAAAATGACTTCTCGCCTGTTCCCTTCTCCTCCCTGTGCTACTTTTCCTTGGGGCTGCGTTAAAAAGAGTGTGATTTTGTTTAAGGTATTTCAGTACAGTATTTGCGGAGGTTACGTGTTCTGGATGGCCCACTTAGAAGAATTTGGAAGATTAACCTTTTCAGGTTCTTTCAGATTCCCTTTAAAATACCGTGCATAGACAGCAGATCACTGAAGACGACCTCGAAGAAGCTGCTCGGTATTAGGAAGGGACAAGAGATCCCCAAACTTTTGGTAATAAATGATGATAAAGCAATTTAGTGTTGGTGCTTCAGTGCTGAGGAAATGAGTAACAGGAGAATTGATAAGTTTAATGTCTTCCACCATTTTGCGTCCTGTTCTAGATTTATCTTTATTTCTGGCTGCTCTGATGCACAACCACACAACATCTGTCTTTCAGAGATTTTAAAACCTTTACCTTTCCGTGATTTTTGCTGTGACTGGTAAGGTCTCATTAATTGAACTCTGTGTTCTGGAAATCCACTGAGAATATACAAATTAATTTTTGGGGACAGATGATTACAAAATTCCTGCTGCTGCAAAGTTAGAGAGAACCTGTTGTCTCTGAAAAGATAGCATTGACAGTCTTTTAGATGCTTTCTCAATAATATAAAAAGAGGGTTTTTTTCTGATTCCAAATAGGCTATATACATTGAAAGCCTGGCCATAAATCAGATAGGTTTCTTATTAAACTCCTTTAAGGCCGTAGTATCTGGAAGAAACACACAAAGTTCTCTTGTCATTTCTACATGTGTGGTCCTCATGGTTTGCAAATTTCTAAGTGGATTTCTGCCTGACATTCAGTAAACAGACACACCAACCTGGGACTGATACCCCACAGCGATCAAAAAAAAAATTATGGCATTACCAGAACCACAGTCTGGGGCAATCACTGGTTTTCACTCAGGGAAGCTCCTGTTTCCACCTTCTCTGCCCTGCTGGTACCGCTTAATTGAAAGAGTTCATCCTGGCCTGCAAGGAAGGTGCTGAAGTTGAGAAAAGGCAGGTTTGTCCTGGCAGCACTAATCCCACAACTTTTAACTTGTCACTCTGGCACTTCCATTGGTTCCAAGGGAAGCTTTGCTCCCTGAGGATGGTATCACAGGCAGTGATGGACATTCAACATTTGAGATGCCGCGCGAGTCTGTTCTCCTTTGTCGTTCGATAAGGAGTCCCTTATTTAGCAACGGCAAGTTGCAAGACGGCTCTTATCTCCCGGATGAACCTGCCAGGAGCCAGCTCTGACTTTAAAAGACTTCCAGAGACTTCTCTATCTATGCAAATAGTACCAATCTACATCAACTGGTTTAAAAAAAACTGATTTATTGCATGGCTGTTGTTTAAATTAGTGGAAGTGTATATTTAACTTGGTTGTGTTAGACAAACCCAGAAGTCACTAGCAAAGAAGGACTCTTGAATTTCTGGGGATTTTTTCTGGGACAGCTCATTAATGATTTAATGTGAACTCTGTGCTTTGGAGCATGGCACTGGGCACCATAGGGGAACTTGCGGTTTGTTTTTTAAATGTGGGTAAGTCATCTGCATTGAACCCAAGCGTATTTCGTGGAGCTATGAAAAAGTCCCTGCCCTATTTTTTTCCCCCTCTGGCTATGAGACGTCATTTCTAAAGCTTGTAAGTCAGACCATCTGTGCGTTTTTTAGTTAGGAAACACTAGTAATCAAATAATCCTATTAATGGAAAACAAATATCAGACAAAGCCTTTTCAACCTTCAGAGCTTTTATGTGTTCTGTTGTGTTTTCCAAACGCAGTCTGTTCAGAAGATACTGCCGTTGCAGGGACCACCTGGCAGCAGATTCTGTGGATTGGGTGGCAGTTTGCAAGACAAGGCAGTGGGGAGGAATAAAAATAGGAAATCTCGCTGTGTTTTTCTTCTGAGCCTCAGGGAACAGAAGTAATCACTGCACAAATGTCAGGGCACAGCTGAATTTCAGAGTGAGTGTCTGAGCGCTCATCTCAGCCCACACTAAATCTGAAGAGGAGATCGCATCATGGGTTGTTGGTGTGCTTTACGAGCACAGGGAGGCAATGTGTCTCCATCAAACCGGGCGGCTCTTTCCACAACCTAGACTGCAGGCGTCATGAACAAGGCAGAACACGTTTCTCCCAAAAGCTGTTTTTCCTCTTATTTCAGTCCCAAGTTTAATCCAGTGTAGGAAACTTTCCATGGACAGTTGTTTGTTAGGCAGTAGAAATCCAACTTGCTTTCTCGTTTGGGGATTTGCTGTTTTCTGCTCTGTGGTCTGAAGCAGAGAACTATAGCTGTGTTTACCCCTACAGGGAATTACAGTCCCTACTTACTTCGGTGAGAGAGAGAGTGAGCTGCAGAGAACTTGGTGAGACTGAATTTTGCCACCTTTTCTGTCTTCCTTGCATGTGGGTGGAAGGCCAGACAGCTGTGTAACATTTCTCCCCCCCCTCCCATATCGGAACTGCAAGTAGCACCTATTGTGCTGTGGCTGGGGCTCACCTCCAAGTCCCAAGCAAAGCTGCTGTTGCACACCAAAGCAGAGGTTTAAACAGCTGATGTCCCACTCCTGCTCTGCTCTTTTTCAAGGCTCTTGTGATATCTTGGTATCTTCAGTAGTTCCCCAGTTACCAGAATCTTCTGATCGAAACCGAATTTCTGATGTTAAAAAAATGGTTTTCCCTGTTATGCAGAAACCCTCAGTTATCTTTGCTTTTCTTGCTCAAGAATGGCTGTTTCCTCTTACCTGTGCGGATGCTCATCAGCTCTCAGCGCAGCAAGCTGAAGGGACAGCCTGAGTGACTCCTCAAGAGCAGAGTTTAGCATTCATTTTTTAAGGGGCCAGGCATTGCCGGGGTGGGTTCCTCTCCCCCTTAATTTACCTTGGACTGTTCAAGAGTAAACTATTTGCTCCAGTATACAAAAAGCATCACTTAGCAGTCAGGGAGACTTCGGTGTAATGTTTCTGGACAGAAAGCAAGCAGGCACTTGGACAGCATCAGTGTCTCAGGGTCAAATAACGAAGCTGAAATGGCTATCAACTTTGATGACAAGAACTAGAAGGAGCTGTTACTAAAGGTCTCTTCTAGTTTGTGCTCACCTGCAGAGTTCAGTTCAGTTTTCTTGTGCTGTTGGATCCTACACAAAGCCATCCATTGCAAGTCCTATGTCTGCAGAGCCTTGCGAGAGGAATATGTTAAATCTGTATCCTTAAGCTCTGTCTCAAGAAAACAGGCCCTATCTGTGGACTATGACTGCTTCAAATCACCTAAAAATATGGACTGTACATCTCCAAAACACCAACTGCCAGGGAAAGGAGTTTTCTAGCCATAGGGAAGGGAGCAGTTTCTTATTGTTGGAATTGAGATTTTTCAGACCTTCCGGCCAGCCTGTTCAGGGCAGCGGTGATGTTTCCACCTCCGCACCGCCTGGTGCAGGTTCCTGTTCTTCTTCTGCCAGGCGTAGGCCTTGTTCACCACCACTTTGTCACTCTGTACTTCGCCGCTTACAACGAAGACCCCTGCGTGAGTGCCTCTCATGATGTTGTGGACGCAGGTAGCATCTATGTCCAGCCACTGCTGGAGCCGGGCGGGGATTTCAGTTCTGAGGAGTGGGCCGTGCTTCAGGACCTCCACCTTGGAGGGGTCCAGGTCGAAGTCCGAGATGGTGGTGGTGGTGTTCTTCCTCAGGATTCGGATTTTCACTGCTGTGGGGGTTGGAAAAAGAGCTGTTAGTTCTGTTTACTTTTCATAGCTCTTACCTACTTAAACACACAGCCAACACAAGGCTTTCTTGCTGTTTCTGTAATGTGCTGATGCATCCATCCAAGCTCTTGTAATTGCAGTGAACTTGTAAAAGTTCTCATTTGAGGTTAGTTTCCAGTACTGAACACAGTTCTTCTCACTCCGCTTTTCTCGTGAGAGTGGCAAAGGCGTGTCAGCACCGCTGCATGGGCAGAAACCCTGTAGGAAGCAGGGGCACAAGCAAGTGGATGCATCAGTGTCCTGGTGTCGTGCAAATTACTTGACTGTTCTCTGAGCTGGGATTTCAGGAGGTGACATGACTGCCACCTGCCCAGGATTTTTAACTTTTTTTTTCATGAAGATTGTGTGTCTGAATTCAGGACAGTATCTTGAAAACTTCCTGCCAGCTGATTGAGCAGAGCCAGTGCTGCCACCTGCTTGAGCTAGGAGAGGGAGAGTCACATTACTAGAGCAACAGTATTGAAGTTTGAAATAGCTGACATGGATTTTGCTACAGGTTTTTATGGGCATTGATTGAAATGTTGGTCTCCAAGGGAAAATCAGAGTAGTGCTTATGTTTAGCAGCCACAGACCAAACCAAATCAGAGCCCACAGAAATAAAAGCAGGTCTTCACCTTGGGTTCTGCTTGGAGCTGGGCCCTCCTGCTACCTAACAGGTAAGTTGGGACCTGAAAATCCCTGGGATCTGCTGTAAAAGCTGCAGTTCCTCCAAGTCAGTTTGTTATGGCAAAGCCATTTTCTGTCCATGCCACTACTTGGCTGCTGGAGGGAATGGGAGGAAGAGATGGTGGTACTCACCAAAATCATTGGTGCAGAGGTTTTCCAGGATCTCCCTGGCAGTGCTGGCCTCCTCAAGCTCACAGTCCTTGCAGCTGGCTCGGGGCACTACTGCAACAGAGATTTGGTTATAACACCCTTGTCAAGCTTCACTGGAAAAGGCATAATGAATTTTGAGAGCTGCGAGTGGTGGCTTGCTGTTTCCAAGTGGTGCTTCCTCCTGAGCTGCCTAGACCCTGGAGAAAGAGCTCAGAGTGCCAGGGTGGGAAAATGTTATGCTCTCCTTTCTGTGGGTGGGGCAGACACTGCTTGTCCTGCTTTGTTTAGGCTTGTGTGTGTTGCTGCATGTTAAAGCAGCAGTGAAAATGCTTAATGAAGATCTCCTAGTTTGGATGAAACAGTAAAGCCACTGGTATGGCCAGACTCCATCCAGTGATGCTGAAATGAGGTGTCTGTTCTCCCCTTAACTGCTCTTGAATCTCCCCCAGTGTTCATCAGTATCTGGGTGTTTAATTTAGTCTTTCAGTCTTTAAGATTTTTTTCTTGTGTAACTCATGTCTGCAGAGGCTCATGCCCCTTTGTGGTGTTTCCTAATGTTTCAAGAGAAGGCTTGCAAAACATTTCTTTTTGCATGTTTTTAAACCCTGGGCACAGCTGAAAGATCAGGGCTGCAGCTCTTTAGCTCCGCTGGAAGCACGTCTCGCCGCCTGGAGCCTGCACACCACAAGCTCTCATGCTGTGCCTGAGTGTTAGGCTTTTACAGCGATTCCTTTCCCCTGCCCCAAACCCTGCACGATCTGACGGCACCCAGGGAGCTAATGAATACAGTAGAGAGGGGAACAAGCTGCAGTCAACGTTACGCTAATTTTTTAGACATGATGGAGTTCCCAGAGAGAACAAAACTAGAATTCAGAATTATTTTTTTTTAAATAGAGCTTGCAACCAGAAATATTAGGAATAGAAACAAGGCATAGGCCCATCCTTTCAAGCTTTCAGTGTTACATATGGAATAACATGAGAAAAAAAAACCAACTTACTTCTCCTGCTCGAGGAGTTTTCATCTGTGGACACTGCTGCAATGCACAGTTCATGATCTGCAGGAAACTTGCTGCAGTTCAGGATTTCGGGCCAGGGGTAGCCGTAACAAGCCATGACGGGTGCACAGCTTCTCTTGACGGCTTCGCACAGGCTGCGGCAGGGGTAGATGAGCCTGGGGAGGGGATGGGGATTGCAGCACCTCTGGACTCCTCCCGGCAGCAGGCTGAGGGTCAAGCCCTGGCACCGCGCTGCACACTGTAGCGCTAGGAGAGCTGTTTGGGGGTCTTTGATGTCTTTTGAACGTTCATGCCCAGGAAGCAAACAATGGATTTTTGAGGACAGGAGGGATGAGGGATGAGGCTGTTTGTTACAGGCTGCTGCCAGAAGCCCTTCCTCCCACCCAGGGATCTTCTCTAGTTGTGCAAAGGCTGCTTACCTTTACAGGTGCCTAATTAGATGCCCAGTTTCCTTAGCAGCTCTGTACTTTGATGGCTGCACCTCAAGACTGAGGATTTCTCTCTGCTGCTGGCACTGTCGGGCTGAGAAACCCCCTACATGTTTGGGGCAGGAGCTGCATGCAGGGGGCTGCAGGGGAAGCGGGAGGTGAAGCCGGTGGGTGCCAGCAGATACTGTGGTGTGTGACAGGGGTGGCCGGGGGAGACGGCAGCAGTGCCTGGGGTGGGAGAGCAAGAAAATCCAGAGGAGGGAACATAAGGTTTCTGCTCCTGCAAGATTAAATGCTCATGTTTCACTTTCAGAGGGAAGGTCCCTGCTGGGTAATCCAGTTGCCCCTTGCCCAGCAGGGCAGCCCGGCTTCTCGGGGACTGTGCTGATCACGTTGCATGCATTTTCTCTTGGGAGGCAAATGCAGTTGCGCTCTTGGGGAGTGTTACTTGCCAGAGCTGAAATAACTTCTAAAAGCATCTTACCTGTCCAAGCAGATTGGTGCAAAGAGGGAGCAGAGGAAAATCCTAGCGTCTGGGTGGCACTCCCTGGCCAGCAAGGGCAGCCAGCTGGAAGACTGCTGGATCACTTCTGGCATGGTCTCATGCTCCAGCAGGTTGGGAATCCTCATCTCGGAGTAGCCGATATCGTAGCACAAGGCCATGTGGTGTGGAATGGGTGTGCAGCTGGAGGATCTCCTCAGGTAGCTCGCCCAGGCTCCTGGAGAGCCCCAGAGCAGCAGGCGCACCAGGAGACCCAGCAGCCATGGGCTGCCCGACCTTGAGGGGTGCCTGCGGTGGGCCGTGACCATGCTCAGAGCAAGCTGGGAGCAGGCGAACGGGCAGCACACCCTGGACTGAGCTGCTCCTGACTGTGGGATGCCTTTTATAGCCTATGAGCCACCTCTCTGTCAATCCATCCTCATTAAGTGCGGCCCTTTCAGAGCCCTCATGGGGAAGACAATGCTCCAATTTTCGTTTGCCAGCGGCCCCGATTGTTTGGATTTTAGCAGGGGTTTGGCTTAGATCAGCAGGTGTGGAAATGAGGGCAGTTGGGGAGGGATGAATGACTTGGCCCATGTGTCTTGGGGCTCTTTCAGCCAAGATTGAATCTCTGTTTGACACCAGTGCTCCAACCCATCCCCTTTCTCTTGCTCCAGGATTAGTCATTATTTCATAAACCCCAATGTTTTCCTCTCTTTTGTTTTTTGTAAAAGCAATCAAGTGTTGCTCAAAGTCAATTAGGAGGCATTTGTTTAGCTGGATCTATTGTTGAGGAGGCAGGGAGATAGGATGGTTTCACAGCCAGAAGTTAACTGTTTCAGAGAGCTGAGGGCAGAGAGGAACTAATTTGTAGCTGTGGAGCCACGTTGTTTGCAGATGAGATTGGCGGCGCTTAGCTGGAAACCCCCTCACCTTGCAACCTGCGTGACAGAGCATGCTTTCCGGTTAACAGAATTTTTACTTCATTACAAAGTCCCGTTACTACCACTGAAGAGCAGGATTGTCCTTCCTCCAGCACGTAATTAAGATTCCAGAAGCCATCATTATTGTAGCCCAGTTTGGGGAACTGGAAATACTGGGGGCGTTGCTTGCCAGCACGCAGTTCATTCGGATGTGGTGCCGTGCCATGAGGTTCAAACCAGCCAGCGGAAGCTCCAGCGCTGAAGCATCCTCTGGCACAAGGACCCTGTGCTGCCTGTGGCGGAAATTGTTTCCTCGGAGGGTGTTACGGATACAGCCGGCTGCATTGTGTTGCTGGGGCTTCCCAGGAACATCTCATTTTCTACAGAGCTAGTTCTGGTCTGTACTTAGCAAGAAGCCAACTGCGTATTGACAGTTTGAGTTGATAGGGTTGATTTAAGGTCATGGAAGTAATTAACTTTTTTTTTCCCCCTTTGAGGATTGCTGCTGTAGTGGAGATAAAATGTGTCCTTGGCACATACTTGCAGGAGCTCTAGGGGGCTGCAATTTGAAGAGCAGGACCTTGGGCCTAGGAGCACTTAAACCTGTCCTGCTTTGGTGGTTTTTCTTTTCCTCTTCAAAAGTCTCAGCAGCTGATCCCTGAAGAGCTGATCTCTACAAGATCCCTGTAGCAGTGACAGACATCAGCCAGAAGGATCTTCTCAACCTACTGGGCCACAATGTAACTGTGCTGTGGAATGGGACCTCTCCAGCGCTTTGCAAGTGTGTGCCCAGTGCACCATGCAGTTAGAAATCTCTTAGCTTCACCGTCATCAGTGGATTTCTCTGCAGTTAAATTTGCTTGGGATCCTGGTATTGCCTGATTGCTGCTGGTGGTGTGCTGCAAAGGAAAGCTGGTGATACCAGGATGCTATCTGGGTATGGAGCGTGGCATCCACCATGCACAGTGTCTTCCCCTTTAATGTTGCATTTGAAGACCATTTTTAGTGGGGGACCAAGGGAATGAGTGGGAATAAGTTTGGAAGTTGTCTCTTTGCTGTTTGAGTTTCATAGTAGAGCACTGTGCCAGGTTCCCCTGAAAGGTGTTTGGTTTTGTGCAAAGTGCCACCCCCTCCACATGAGAGCAAGGAAGCCTGAAACCCTGGCCATCACCACTGCCCACCGTAAAGATTTTTGGCCTCCCTTCCTGTAGAGTGCCAGTTCCCAGACTGTGATCCACATGTCACCTTTGAAGTGATAATATGCAGTGATATGCACGTGTTTGTTCACTCCTTTGTCCATTGTGGTATCTGCGAGAGAGTTTAAGGGCTTGACCCCTGGATCCAAACATTTAGGAACTGCTGCTGTAAAAATACCCACTTCCAGCAGCTCAGGTGTGTGCTCTTTGAGAGCTTTTCTGGTAGAAGGGTGGATGTGTTTGAATGTCCCAAACTTAGGCAGTTCCTAAATTTCCCCCCCCCCTTTTTTTTTTTTTCCTTCTGAGTGGCCTGCCATCAGTATGGGCTCCCACTCTGACAGTTCCTCAGTCTCTGTTGCTGCTCACACTTTTGCTGCAGAAATTCCTGACTTCCTGACGGAGGAAGAGTGCAAGCTCATCGTCCATCTGGCACAGCTGAAGGGGCTGCAGAAGAGCCAGATCCTACCAACGGATGACTATGAGGAAGCCATGGAAATGATAGAAATCAGCCAGATGGACATTTTCAATCTGCTGGACCACAATCAGGATGGGCAGCTGCAGCTCAAAGAGGTAGAGTGTGGGACAAAATGGGGAAGGTTTGCTGTGGGACCTTCTGGCAGGTCCCCTCCTCAGATAGTCACTTGATTACTCATGTGCTTGGGTAGGGCCAGATCCCAGTATATACTGATCAGTATTTGCTTAATTTTATGTCTCCAGACTGGTGCTGGCCTTCAGCATGGAAGTTTCGGGTGGAACGTGCAGCAGTTGTCATGCTATTGGGAGGTAGTAAGGGTCCTTGGCAGGAGATGCGTGTTTTGAATTTGCTGGGTAAAATGTTCCTTGGGCTGTGGGTTTCCTCTTCCTGGGTGTCCTGGGGAGTTTGTAGCATAGGCACTGCTTTGTGTGGCCTGTGGGGAGCTAACCGTGCTAATTGACAAGTCACCAGCAAAGCCACCCCTATTAATGACCCTGGAGGGGGATAACAAGCACCTTGTCCACAGGTCTTCAGCACCCTTGCCCGGTATGGCAGGGTGCGTCAGGGCAGGTGCTGGCAGTTCAAGGATGTCACCCCCATGGGCTCCCGTTTCAGGTGGGGCTGCGGGTCTGTACTGTCCTGTGGGCAGCAAGCATTGTGGAGTATGGGGAACTGTGGCAGTGACAACCCAGGGCAAGGCTCCTTTTCTCTGGAGGTCAGAGCCTGCTGAGAGCTCTCCAGGATACTGCATCTCTCTGTCCACATGAAAAGGAAGCCTTTTTGTTCCAAGCCCTTATCTTGGACAAGTAAAAGCATTCACTTTTATCATCAATAGCTTTACTTTCCCTTCAAGAGAAAGAGCTGTGCCCTTTCTGCCTCAGGACTGGTTAACCGAGTCCCAGCAGTAATTTGCCATGACCTAAACTGGAAACAACAGCACTCATCAGCCACACACTGTGTGTGGCTGCCAGATAATTCTCACTGCAGTCTTCTTTCTGCAGAGATGTGCTGACGCCTGGCTGGCTGATGTGCTGCAGAGGAGAGCCCGCCAGGCCTCAAGCAGGGAGTCTGTAGGGTTTCAGTAGTACAAGAAACCAGTGCCCGCTGTTGATCCATTTATGAATTTCAGGTGTTGACCCACACCCGGCTTGGGAATGGCAGGTGGATGACCCCCGAAAACATCCGGGAGATGTACACTGCAGTCAAGGCTGATCCTGATGGGAACGGTAAGAGCAGCTCCATGGGAATCCCTTCACCCTCAGCATGCTGGATGCCTCGCACAGCTGTGTGGGGCAGAGCAAGAGCCGTGTCCCTGCCCAGGCCTGTTTCTCTTGCTGTATTCTTCAAAAGAAAATAACACTGCTTTAGAGACCTTTGTAAAAAATTAAAACCAGTGTAAACCTCTCATCGCAGCACTCCTGCCCCTTCATCACCAGTCTAGCAGCAGACTAGTTCCACTGCCTGGGCTTGGATCTTGCAGAAGCAGGACCAGAACACAACTCTCCACTCCCTCTCCCCCTGTCAGACCTGCTTTGGTTCCTGCCCTGCTGTAACAGGACCTTGAGGGTGTGCTTCTGCTCCTGTGGTCTGAGAGACTGCTCTGGATCTGACTGCATAGCTGTTGTTACCTGGGCTTCAGTTTTTAAGCTGCACCCTCCACTCCCCGCCCTGTTTTCAGGGAGACTTCTGCAGCAGGCTGGGAGCCCTGTATCACTGGCAAGGGAGGGCAGAATAAGTGGAAGTGAGGGTGGTTTTGTTGGTCAGCCTTTGTTGCTGACCCCCCTCTCTGCCGCTGCAAACTCTCTGTATTCCATGAGGCCACTTCTGCCCCTCCTGCTCCTGGTCTCCCAAGGGCTCCCACTGGTCCGGACATGCACTCTAACCTCTGCTGCTCTAATTAGAGTGGCCTCAATTAAGCAACTCTCCATTTCCTAATCAAATTAAGTGAACGCACAGGCTCTGCACGCTCTCTTCCAGTGACCTGGCATTGAGAGCTGCCCAGGAGGAGTTGGTTTGAAGCAGTACCCGTGTGAATGCCTAAATATCCGGAGGGCACCCCATGCCCTGCTCGTCTGGGATGGTGGCATTCTTGGCAGGGGCAGGAGCGTATGACTGAGTCCTCAGTGGCTTTTCCACTGTTCCGGACATCAACAAATGGAAGGTCCTGTTAAAGTGCTCTTGGCAGGACCTTGCTTCCAGAGAGCTGCTTCACTCCGTTGTTAGACTGGTACATGACACCAAGTGACGAGGTCACAACCTGGGGAAGTGGGGACAGGGAGACACTAGAAATAATAATGGTGTGGGTAATTTGGCCACAACCACTGGCACCTGAGGACCTGTCCCAGGCTGACCCTGGGGGCTGGTCCTTCCTCCTGCTGGAGAGTGCTGTGTGCCTGGGGAGCAGAGCTGGCACCACAGCAGCACTGGGTTTGCTGCCTGAGTGAGCTCCACTTGCAGCCCATGATGCATGTTGGCTGCCAGGCAGCATGCTGCAGTGTTCCGCAAGCTCTGGTCCCGGGGACCTGGTCCCCAGTGCGGGGCTTCCCTTCTTCAGAAAGGGGAAACAACAAATGTGAGGATTTTTCTGAAGCCGACAAAGGCCAAAGTCTAACCCTTGTTGAGTCCAGTTGAGTGCAAACAAGAAATACTTGTGTCAGTAGAAACCACTTTTTACCTCTGGTTTTTCTGTTATTTCTACTTACGCAAGATCATACTCTGTTGTATTTCTCACTCGTGTTTTGCAATTACACAAATTCAGAAGAATGTACCGCTTGTTTTGGTTTGGCTTTTTTAAATTACCATGCAGGGTCTTGTAGAAAATATGGTCTGAGGTGTCCCACTCTGCTCCTACACGTGTCTATTTAAATATCTAACTAACAAGCTCCAAGGCATCAGGTGGCGCAGGCTTTTTAGCTGTGGGATTGCATATGTTAGAACTGTATTGGCTATTTCTCTCTTTTGATGGATTGATTTGTATGTTTTAGGAGCTTTTTAAAGTTCAAAATGGTACTTCACCTGTCCCAGTTCTGACCCTGTACGGCAGCTAACAGTTCACTTTTGCAGGTTGCTGTATGCCCTCTACTCTGCTAAAGGCGAGAGCATGGCTGGGGCCTGTAATCCTGCACGTAGCGGGTGCAGCCGGTGGTGGGCACAGTGGTGGACCCTGAATGGGGTTTGTCTGAGGAAGGCAATTTCTGCAGTGCCCTCAGCTGGTGGTTTCTCTGAGTACAGGACGCCAAGAACTATTATTACCTGCACCAGAGTCAGCCAGCTTTTCCTCTCTTCCCCTAGGTGTGCTGAGTTTGGAGGAGTTCAAACGATTGAATATCCGTGATTTCCACAAGTACATGGGAAGCCAGAAAGTGAAGATGAGTGACTTGGTGCGCAACAGCCAGCACACCTGGCTGTACCAGGGCGAGGGGGCACACCAGGTCATGAGAGCCATACGGCAAAGGTAAGGGCCAGGCAGCCGAGGGGCCGTTGGGTTTGTCTAGCCATGAGGACCACCTGTGCTGGGAGAGGCAGTGGCAGACTTGCTAATATTCACACTTCCTAATTGCGTGAAAGTCTTTGGAGTATAAAGAGCAATGAACACAGACACAAAATGGGGAGAGGAGGTTTTCATTAGAACAAGAATTTGTATTGTCCCATGGAAAAGGAAAAAGAAAAATCAAACCTTTCAGCATCTCCATTCACTTTTGGGAACAGCCCTATAAAACCAAGAAGACTTGGCATTATATGAAATAATTCATTCTAATTAGTAAATGAGCTTACTGGGAGAAACTGCCCATTTCCAATCCTGTCTGGGTGCCAGTAGTTACTGTCATTTGCTTTAGTTACTCATGCATTTCACTGAAATCTGTCTTAGCTGTTCAGAGCTGACTTTTTAACAAGCACAACTTCACCTCAAGTAAGCCGAGTTAGTTTAATCCTCTGAGCACATGTATCGCAGGGCAGCTCACAGCAGACAGGAGAACCTCTTACCCTTCCCTTCATCACAGATTTGGTACTGGGAAGCGTAGAAACCCAGCATGCAGGCCAAATCGTTTAGCCGTGGTGAGTTTCAGATAACTGGCTGGAGACTCCCTTGTTCTTGTGGCGCTGGTCCTCGCCCAGAACATGGGTGGGTAAAATCTGTCCCGAGGCTTGAAAACGGCTGTTGGCCGCTCCTTTTCTTCAGTGCATTCCAGCGGGAGAATGGGGTTGCATATTGCCTTGATTAGAGCAGGCTCTGGCTGCCACCTTCTCCGTGCCAGCTAGCCAGCGCACACAGGCATTGGCATACTGCTTTTACGCTCTTCAGTTGGCTGCTCTTACAAGGACGTGAAGACATAGCACTGAAGGAGGCTGTTAGTCCTCCCTGGGACTATGCGGTGCCTGGAGGGGCTTTGCCATCCTGCTTGGGTGCTGCGTTCCCTTTGCACCTGCCCCAAGGGCTTCACCAGTCCCGATTCTCAGAGCTCTGAGTGTTCTTTGGCAGGTCTCGAGACGTACCTGCTTTCCTTGGGGATGATCTCAGATGTAGCAGCGGAAAAATCCCAGAGCAGGAGGGCTCCGGTCTCCTTGATCACTTCCAGTGCCCCTCTGCCCTGGGGGGAGGCTGCTGAAAAGGCAACAGGGAAAGGTGAGTTAGGTGACAAGAATATTCCTAGAGCTAGTCTCTTGTTCGCTCTCAGCAGGGGTCCTGTGCTTTGCTAACAGTCCCTGAGGTCTGTAGGTGGTGTGCAGGAGTCCAGAGAAGCCATGAGATGGCACATGAAGGCTCCAGGGACACACACAGAAGGGATCTTGCTGAGCAAGCAAAGTCTTCCTGAAAGCAGTCCTGCTGGAGATGCACCCTTCGGTTTTGGGGTTTTTTTATTAACCCTGACAAGGACTTTCTGAGCTGATGCTGATGGTCCAACAGATCTGTAGGGACCTAGTTATCTCTTGGCGTGCTTGCTGCAGCCCATCCGTCTCTCTGGTCTGTTGGGGAAGGGAGTTATCTTTCTCTGAATTTACTCGCTGCTTGGGAGTAGTGGCCGACCAGGGTGACGGTGCTTTCTCCTCACCTGCTCTTCTCTCCTCTTCCCCAGGGTAATGCGCCTGACTCGCTTGCCCCCCGAGATTGTGGAGCACAGCGAGCCCCTCCAGGTTGTGCGGTACGACCAAGGAGGGCACTACCATGCCCACATGGACAGTGGCCCCGTCTTCCCCGAGACCGCCTGCAGCCACACGAAGCTGGTCGCCAATGAAAGCGCTCCGTTTGAGACCTCCTGCCGGTAAGGTCTGCCTTGGCACAATCTGGAATGCGTTAGAGAAGCGGTGTGGAGAGCTGTTTCGCCTCACCTCGCATGGGACTTGGTGCTCAGGTTGTGGGCTCACAAACCAGCTCTGGAGATCGCTAGCATGAAGGGGTTTGAAGGGGGAGGTGGGCGAATCCTGTGGGTCCACGCAAGGAGGGCAGAGTGGTTCTGCAATGCTGCTGGGCTGTCCCCACCAGAGGTTAGAAGCGCACCCTCACCGTTGTGGGTGGGCATTTTCTTTATTGTCCTTGTCTTGTCCTTGGAGAAAAGCTGATGGTGCAAATCACATATCTTGTGATATCTTGGAGGAACTGCTGTATGTATGGTGGAGGGGCAGGGTACGGACAGCCCCTGTGCATCTCCTCCTGTTCCAGTTGTGTCCCCTGACAGCCACTCTGTCTTGCAGGTATGTGACAGTGCTGTTCTACCTGAACAATGTGACTGGGGGAGGTGAAACAGTCTTTCCTATAGCTGATAACAGGACGTACGAAGAGATGGTAAATGAATCTCACCTACATGTTACCCCCTGGGGATTCTGAGTCCCTCTTTGAATGTCTATTCACTGCGGCTGCAGGAGGGGTCCTGTGTGTGAGGTTGGTGGACTTTAGCCTTCGTAGCTAGAGCATGGGGAAGCTCTGCTCCTCTTACGGTCTTCTCCCTCTGAGGCCAAGGGAAGAGGCACAGGGCTTTGACAGCTGCAGCTCTCCCCACTTAGAGGTGTGAGGGGCTGTATCTTGGCCTTGCTGCCATAACACGAGTCCTGCTCACTTCTGTCTGGGCAGCTTTCCTCAGACTAAGTCTTGGCAGGTATGTTGTGCTCCTGTCAGGCAATATGTTAAGGAATGGGCGGCTGCTCAGAAACAGGTTATGGACCTCCAGGGGATTGAAACTGGCTGCTCCGGGTGGGTTGTGAAAGCCCTGTCCTGCCCAGCATCAGCCTTGAGCTGTTCCTGTGGGGTGTTCAGGCAAAGGGCAGGATGACGCCTGGCAGCAGAGGCAGCCCAGTGCGTGCACTTCGTTCCAGCCCTGTTTGCAACACCTTCTCTGTGGTTTCTTGCCAGTCTTTGATCCAGAACGACGTTGACCTGCGAGATACTCGGAAAAACTGTGACAAGGGCAATTTGCGAGTGAAACCTCAGCAAGGCACTGCTGTCTTCTGGTACAACTACCTGTCAGATGGAGAAGGTATGGGCTTGTTTCAAGACTCGGCTCTTGGGAGGGGTAGGACTGCAGGAGGTGACAGCTGTCGTCTTCTTGCAGCGGCTAGATGCTCAGAAGAGAGCCAAAGGGTGGTAGCTGCCTGCTAGTGGGAACTGTAGAGTCTACTTGTCACCAGCTGGGTAGGAGCTTCCTGACTCTGAAAGGCCTTTGTTTACAGGCAGTAGGTCAGTGGCTCCTGATGTCTTTGGGGGACGGGACCAGCTAGCAAACAAAGACCTTGGCTGCACTAGCCATTGCCAGCTGCCTCCTATCCTGCTGTGCGAGCTGAAACTCCTGCTGAAACTTGGTCTGCAATTCAAAATGTTTCACTGATGTGGTGTTGCCCAAAGGGGTGGGGAGGGGAGGTAGACAAAGGCATGGCCATCAGCTCTGCAGCATAGGGAGGCATGGTCCACCCCGCGCGAGGCGCTGCTGTGCTTGGGGCCAGCTCCTGCTTTATAGCTCAGCCGCAGCCTGTTGATATGTGTCCTTGGGGCTGTTTTTCTCATGAAGCGCAGCGTGGTTTCCCCTGACAGCCAAGCTGGGGGATTGACATGAATCTTCCAGGCTGCTGGTGAGTATGACTCCAGAGTGTTTCGATGGCAGATTTTGAGCAGTGGTGGGAGGAAGGAGTATAGCATTCCAGCTCCCCTGGGAGCAGCCCATGTTTCCATCTCTAGAAGGTCACAAGACCAGCATTTGGGCTGTTGGGTGGTAATATCAAGACCATCGCTCTCCTGTAAGAAGAGCCCTGTTGTGTTTTTATGAGCAAATTTTTCCTAAATGGAAGGCGGCTGCTGATGCAAGTCTGCCACAGAAAAACGATGGGACCTCTGTAAAAAGAGGATCATTTAGAACTGCTGAAATGCAATCTCTAATGTGGCCCTGAGCCCCTGACTTCCACAGGCCTTCTAGTGGCAGCACCCATCTTTTCCATGCCAGCCTCCCATTTGGGGAAGAGTTGAGAAAAACAGTAGCTCTGATGCAGAATGCAAGAGCCCCTTGTGCCGAGCGGAGACACGGAGGCAACAAGCATTTTGCCTGCCCTGGTGAACTCTTTATAGATGCTAGGGTGGGATGGCACTAAGATGAAGGGGTGTCAGGAGGAGCCAGCTCCTGTTAAGAAGATGTATCTGAGCCAAAATCCAAGCAGGCGCTCTGGGCAGGAGAGCTGCTGTCACCATTCACTGGCCGTGCCTCCCTGTGCGGCCCCAGCTGTGCCTGCCCGTGCTGCAGCACTCCTCGCCACCTCCTAACAAGGCTTCGTTCCGCAGGCTGGGTGGGGGAGCTGGACGACTTCGCCCTGCACGGGGGCTGCCTGGTCACCCAAGGCACCAAGTGGATCGCCAACAACTGGATCAACGTGGACCCCAACCGCCGGCGGCAGCTGCAGTTCCAGCAGGAGATGGAGCGCTACGCGGGGGCGGAGGCCGGGGCCGGAGCCCCGGGCGAGTGGACAGTGGATAAAGCCTACAGCGGGGTGCACCTGGAGCTGTAGGGTCGGGGGGGACGGGGGACGGACAGACGCGGCGGAGGGTCCTGGCCGCGCGCACG